GTGCGACTGAGCCGGGGAAGTTTCAGCATCATCTCCTGGCCACTCACCCCCTGCTCACGTTGCCCGAGGCGCCCAGGGGAGGGCGCGGGACCCGACGCCGGGGAGCAGGGCATAAGGCAAGCAGCACGAGGGGAACAGCCATGGGTCCTCACCGGTCCTCACTGACGTCTCCCCTTCTCTGCCCTTGACTCATGCCGCCTTCCCGCGGCCTCAGTGGCATGAGGAGGTCACCGGACGTCAGCCCGCGGAGACTGTCCGACATCAGCCCTCAGCTCCGGCAGCTTAAGTACTTGGTGGTGGACGAGGCGATCAAGGAGGATCTGAAATGGTCGCGATCCGTGGAGGACCTCACTAGCGGGCCAGTGGGACTCACGTCCATCGAGGAACGGATCCTGCGCATCACAGGCTACTATGGCTACCAGCCCTGGGCGACGAGCTACAAAAGTAAGACTCCCACGTAATTCCCCTGCCCGCTGGTGGTCTCCCTGACAGAGATACAGCAGTAAGGGAAGCGCAGAGAGGGAAGGATCTCTGCACCCTCCCTCCTGCACGCAGATTGGGGGGGGGGGGGGGGGGGCGGGGGGGGGGGGGGGGGGGGGGGGGGGGGGGGGGGGGCTTTCTGTTACATTCTGTCTGCTTTCTGCTTCCCAAACACAACGTCTTTACCACTACCACCCCAAGACACGTGTCCACTTCTAAGTGATTCTGAAGGCAGCCTGTTGTCGCTGTCCCTGAGAAATGCTTTAGAGAATCAAAGTCTTTGCCTGAGTAGGGTTCTGATTGGGTCCTGGTGTCCTTAGCTCAGGAGAACTCCGGCTTTGGTGGCCTGGGTTTTAACTGTCTCTCTCAGATATAAATGAAGATTCGTTGGGCCTAGCCCTGTGTCTTTGCTTTAGAATTGAATGGTTTGTAAGTCGGAAGATTTTATTTTGATCTTTCTAGATACTTAAGTATCTGAAACATGAGTGAATAATTGGGGCCAGGTGAGATAACTCAGATTTACCCTGGGCATCAGCTGCTGACCTTGTTTGCTATGGTGAGCCATTACCTGTGGGGGTAGGACTCATTTGGTGGCATTTATTTTGTTTTCTTTGAAAGAGAGAGAGAGATTGAGATCTGCTTGAAAAAAAAAAACTCAAGACACTGTTTGAGATATTATCAGGATCTGTGTCATACCTTTGTAGTTAGACACTGCAAAAGGATTCCAACTTGCCCCCTCAGTGGGTTTAAGATGTGAGCATGAGTCATTCATTTGTAAGAAAGTCTAGACTAACAGCTTGATAATTCTGAATTAATTTTTAACCTTTTATTGCTGGGAATCACAACATAATGTATTGGTTTTTAGGGGGGAAACACTAGACATTTGTTTTATAATTTAGTAATATTCACCACTAAGAGTGTTCTCTACTTATATTATTCTTAACACCTTCTAGCCCAAGCACTTGGCTGTGAGCTTGTTCATTTTGTTATTTGCAATAAAAGGCACAGGGTTTGAGTGCTTGATCTTAATGGTCTGATTTGACCTTAAAAGTCTGTGAAGACTGTATGTAGCTCACTATAAATCCTTCTGATGCTCCCGTGTCTCCCTGCCTCTGGTTCTGCTACTAGGATTGTTGCCTGCATTGGCTTTCCATTGCAGAAGGGACTTCTCTGTCACCAAAGGACACTCAGCAAAAAAGTAACAAGAAGTTGGGTCTTTCAGACTTTCCTGAGGGTGTGGAGAGGATCCTGTCTTCCCACTTTGAGAACTTCTGTTAGAAAATAGATATTCTGTGTTTTGTGTCTACATTCTCTGCTTTCATATAACTAAAGGCAGTGCTATAAATTACAGGCTTTGAGAGGTCGTCTCTCAGCCCCTGAAGTCAAAATAAGGCTTATTTTTTACAGTTGCATGTGTGCCTGACTCTGCACTCTGTGAAAGCCGAGGTGGAAGTTTGTGACTTTGGGGGCTGGTGAGCAGCTTTTAGGCATGGTAACTGTGCTGAACATACTTTATAGTAAGACCCAGGAAAGCCCACATGGAGAGCAAGTCACTTGTGCCACCAACAATATTCTTAGACACCATTTTCCAAGGCTCCTCTGAAGGAATAAGCAGAGTAGGTAAGGCTGCAGTGGTTCTTGCCATGTGGACAAAAATCCTCACTCATTCCCTCTTGCCCTGTGAGGATTCTTTCTTCTTCCAAGGTATTTCCTCGGTACTAAAATGCTTTAGGTGACAAGTGACATTTTGATGAATTAATTGGCTTTAAGTTTAAATTTAGAGGCGCTGATGTTTTATTCATGCAGCAGAAGAGGTTTTAGGGCAGTGCTCTGCTGTTTGCCAATTCTATCCAACTTTGAAAATAATAACACAGAGGCATATCCATCCGTGGGCCCCCGTTCACTGCTTAGTTTGTTGTCTAATACATGAACTCAACACTAGAAGAGACAGTGATTACAAGTCAAGTGTGTGTGTGTGTGTGTGTGTGTGTGTGTGTGTGTGTGTGTGTATGCACGTGCACACTTGTGCACTTGAGCACACCCATGCACAGGTGCACATAGGGCAGAAGACAACCTTGAGTGGGTGTCATTCTTCAAGTGCTGTCTGCTTGCTTGTGTTTTAAGACAGAGTCTCTCACAAACCTGGAATTTGCTGAGTAGGCTAAGCTAATTGGCTGTCAAACCCCAGGAAACTGCCTGTTTCCACCTCCCCAATGCTTGGACATGTAACACCACACCCTGCTTTTCATGAGGGTTCTGGGAATCATACTTAGGCCCCAATGCTTCCTAGCCAAACACTTTACCAACTGAGCTACTTAAACAGAACTCTTTTTTTGGTTATTTTTTGTTATTATTTTTTGTTATTTTTTTATTAATTCAAATTAGAAACACGCTTGCTTCACATGTCAATCCCTTCTCCCTCTCACTCCACTCCCCCCATCCCCCACCAGTCTCCCACCTAATCCCCCATCTGTTCTCCAGGGAGGGTAAGGCCCTCCATGGGGTTCCCAAAAGTTGTTCATATCATCCTGAGCAGGGCCTAGGCCCTCCCCTATGTGTTCAGGCTGAGAGAGCATCCCTTCATGTGGGATGGGCTCTCAAAGTCCCTTCTTACACCAGGGATAAAATCCTGGTGCACTGCCAGGGGCTGCATAGAGTGTCGAGGCCTCCTCATTGACATCCACGTTCAGGGGTCTGGATCAGTCCTGTGCTGGCCTCCCAGATATCAGTCTGGGGTCCATGTGCTCCCCCTTGTTCAGATCAGCTGTTTCTGTGGGTTTCACCAGCCTGGTCCCTGCCTCTTTGATCTTCATTCCTCCCTCTCTGCAACTGGGTTCCAGAGTTCAGTTCAGTGTATAGCTGTGGGTGTCTGCCTCTGCTTCCATCAGCCACTGGATGAGGGCTCTAGGATGGCATATAAAGTAGTCATCAGTCTCATTATAGGGGAAGGGCATTTAGGGTAGCCTCTCCACCATTGCCAAGATTGTCAGTTGGTGACATCTTTGTAGATCTCTGGAAATCTCCCTAGTGCCAGATTTCTCCTCAGACCTATAATGGCTCCCTCCATTATGGTATCTCTCATCCTGCTATCCTCTATTCCCGCCCCCGCCTCAACCTTTTTGCTCCTCCATTTCCTCCTCTCATCTCCTCTTCTCCCCTTCTCATTCTGGCAGCTCCCTCTCCCCTACCCTCATGCTCCCAATTAGCTCATGAGATCCTGCCCCTTCCCATTCTCTGGGGTCCATGCATTCTTCTCTTAGAGTCCTTCTTGTTTCCTAGTTCCTTTGGTGATGAGGATTCTAGGCTGGTAATCCTTTACTCTATGTCTAAAATTCATATATGAATGAGAACTCTGGATGCTAAGCTTTGGCTTAGTTCAAAGCCTTTGAACCTTGCCACTGTTGATGTTTTCTAGATTATTTCTTATTGTGTGGGGGTTGCCAGTATTGAACAGTGTCCCTGGCTTACTGCTCATTGGATGACAGAGACTGCCATTCCTCCCCCATTTGGCAACCAGATTCTTTCTAGGCACTGACAGATGTCCTCTGTAGGGTGTACCTTTTGTTCAGAACTACTTGGTTACTCTGAGCGGTAAGTATATGTGCACCAAGAAGCAGGCCCGCTGGGTTTTCTTCACCTTTCCTGTCCTCTTGGGCCTTTCCTTGGGTTTTGTGATGAGTCAAATCAGAATAAACAGCCTTCTAAATACTCCATGGAGCTGAGTGCTTCTGCTCTCATGATCCCTCTACTTGCCCTAGGTTGATGATAGTTTCTAGAGAGTTTTTCAGCTTCTCCTAACAGCATCCTTTGCCTCCCTACCTTAGTCTGGAGCAGAGGAAAATGAGTGACTAGGATATTTTCAGCTGTTTCCCTTTGCTTCCTTCCCTGATAAAGACATGGTTTTGGAGTTAGATGGGAAGAAAAGGAGCCACAGTTGAGAGTGGACAGGCAGCCTGCAGCACCCAGCATGCTTGGGAATTGGTGGTTTATTTGCACAGGGAAATAGCACATCTCGAGATCCCAGATGTTCCTGGTGCTTCTTCACTTAGCGGGCTCTTTGGGGACACTCATCCCATGACAAGACACAGAGTCAAGCAATGGAAGATGAAGCTCCTAGCATGGGTGCATCTTCATCCAGAAGCAAGGTTGACACAGCTTGCTTTAAACCAAGAGCTATAGTAAGGTCAGTGCAGGAGAAACTAAGAAATTGTGCTTACTCTGAGCAGGGACATTTCACTTTGTCAACGTGTCCCCTAATGGCTTCCAAATGGTGCTCTCTCAAACACTTTCCTAATAGAAGCACTTTTTAGGAATAGCTATGTAGAAAATGGGGTCATGCCTCACTGTACACAAGTCTCTTCTGGGTCTCCTCACAAAGTGCCTGGCCTAAAATACTCCAAAGAGGGTTGATTGCTTTTATATGCATTCATCAATACCATGCAGTGCTAGCATGTTGAGATAAACATGAACAGTGCTGGCATGTTTAGATAAACATGAATTATTTTTTAGAATTAATTCATTCATAGGGTGGAAAGCAAGCTAGTCCCTACAGGCTACCCATCACTAGCTCATCCAGCCATGGACAGCATGAACTTAGGCCAGCAGCATGCAGGGAACGAGGGTAGACATTTTCTGTCTGAAGTTTATAATATGCAGGGCACTGAATGGCACCTGGTGAAAAGGACACCGATGTTTCTGTATCTTCCTGAATCAAGCATTGCAGTGGCTTTGTATGTGGTAAAGAGAGGGCTTGTGGGGAAGAATGTCTTCTTGATTTCTGTACTAGATATTATGTGACACCACTCCTGGAAGGACAGTGATAAATGTGCAATCCCCCCAGATAGGGAATCAGTGACAGGCCAAAGGAACCATACTATTGAAGTCCAACTTGGTAACCTGTGAGTTTATTGCTATTAATCAAAGGAGTGTAGTGAGAGGTTATGTACAGGAGCAGGGACAACTCA